GGGAACCCTGCAGCCCAATGGTATCAATGCGGATTTCACAAGCTTCAAAATCTCCCCTCCCCCTACCGCATCCCAAAACCAGCCCAGCTTGTCCCCACCTCCCTAACCTGTTCTTCCTCCCACCTATCCCCTCCTCCCACCTCAAGCCACACCCCCATCTCCTACCGACTAACCTCATCCCGCCCCCTTGACCTGTCTGTCCTCCCTGGACTGACCTATCCCCTCCCTAACTCCCCACCTACACTCACCTTTACTGGCTCCATCCCCACCTCTTCGACCTGTTTGTTTCCTCTCCACTTATCCTCTCCTCTATCCATCTTCTATCCGCCTCCCACTCTCTCCCTATTTATTTCAGAACCCCCTTCCCCTCCCCCATTTCTGATGAAGGGTCTAGGCCCGAAACGTCAGCCTTTCTGCTCCTATGATGCTGCTTGGTCTGCTGTGTTCATCCAGCCCTGCACCTTGTTGTCTTGGTTAATTCATAATTGATCTTTTGAGTCACTGAGTTAGCCACTCAGTTATATTAAATGACTATTAGAAAGTTCACCATCACTTTCTCAGGGCAATATATGCTGATTTTGTCACCAATATCCCAAAAATTAATTTGAAACATCTCTTCTATAAGGTCAGAAACGTGACAAAATTTTAAACTAAATACAACGCTATTCAATTTGCTTCTAATGTCCAAATTTTACAGCTTTCTGTCTGAACTAGTTAAGCCAGAAAATATATAAAAGCTGCAGGTCAAGATGATCCTGAATTGGACCTGTAGTTTATATTAGTAGCTTATCTCAACCTATAGCTCCCTGCCGCTGCAAAGATTCCAGGAGAAAATTACTGTGGGAATTAGTTTAATTAAAATTATTTCACAGAGTATTTACAGCATAAACATGCCCTGGTTCAATTTCTGGCTTGTCCTGAGTTTGTTCATCTCAGCCAAGGTCATGGGTAGGATGATATCATTGCAGTTAATGAGTCAGCACATTGAAGAGCCTAAGAGAGCAAGATTCATTAACTTGGTGCAACTGATAACAATTGTGTTAGAAGGAATTACTTGTCAATCCTGAGGCAGATTGAAATAACTCCATCCCCTAGTGGTCTTTCTGTACATAATCCCAGTCACATGACTGACCTGTTCTTGCTGGGGATGGTGCCTTTGTCCTGTTCCTTGAAGTCTTGGCCAATTCTCACGGCATACCACGCTCCCAACTTCCCTTTGTGCATGGTGTCGACAACTCGGAAAACCTCACCTCTCCTGAAGCTTAGTTCCTGTGTTCCTTCTACCTCATGGTCGAAGTGTGTTCGTACGTAGAAGGAGTCTCCAACATTTGAGTTGATCATCTTCTGATAAACTGAAAAGGAGGGGACCTCTATGTAATTTTGTATTTATGAACAATGTTTCAAATTCCTTTATCATCAATATTAATGCTTATATTTAAACTAAATTACATTTAATCTCTAGATTTCAGTTTTCTTCATTCCTGTATCTAAAAGCTTTTGGTCTAATGCTTAATACCCATACTTCAGATGTGTCATACTTCAAAAGTGTCAAAACACTAAAAAAACCAGAAAGCTGAAACATATCCCGTTGTTTTTTTGAACTCGATAATCCAGTCTTTCACAATACCATGATGTGGAGTTTATTCCAGGTACTAAGGAACAGAGCACTTCTCGGTAACTAGCTCCACAGGGCATTTACCTGCACAGCAAATCTGAACAGTAGCATTGAGGAGATTGGCTAAATTTAATACAGCCCTTCCACAGAAACTACACATCCAAACTGCATTCCAATCTGTAAGCAATCAAATGAAAAGAGTAGGACAGTTCTGGTGATAGGATACACCCAAACTCTAAACTGGCAGACACCGATCAACCTGCTGTGTACTTCCAATGTTTTTAAACTTTCTTTTTAGTATCTACCTCCGATCTTTTGTTTGAAGTGAAGGCCGATTTGTGACTGTCTTCCTACAAGACAGGGGTGAGAGTAATAGGCAAGAAGTAGATCAGTTGTTTTTTGGGATCAACATCAAATATGGCAGATCTGGGGAGGCAGGTCTGGAACAAAATCAATTCTTTGTGGCTAATGTGGTAATCTAGACAGGTCCACAGGCACTGATGATAATTGATCGACCTACCCAGCTCACTAAAGCATGGGGTAGGTCTGACACTTGGGCTGGGATTCTTTCCAGCCTGATGATAGAAACATAGAAGATATGAGCACGAGGAGGCCATTCGGCCCTTCAAGTCTGCTCTGCCATTCATCATGATCATGGCTGATCATCCAACTCAATAGCCTAATCCTGCTTTCTCCCCATAACCTTTGATCCCATTCGCCCCAAGTGCCATACCTAGTTGCCTCTTGAATACATTCAATGCTTTGACATCAGCTACTTCCCGTGGCAATGAATTCCACAGGTTCACCACTCTTTGGGTGAAGAAATGTCTCATCTCCGTCCTAAGTAATCTACCCTGAATCCTCATACTGTGACCCCTGGTTCTGGACACACCCACCATTGGGAACATCCTTCCTGTATCTACCTGTCCAGTCCTGTCAGAATTTTATAAGTCTCTATGAGATCCCCCTTCATTCGTCTGAACTCTAGCGAAAACAATCCCGACCTAGTCAATCTCTCCTCATACGTCAGACCCACCATCCCCGGAATTAGCCTGCACTCCCTCAAGAGCAAAAATATCTTTCCTCAGAAAAGGATACCAAAATTGCACATAATATTTCAGGTCTGGTCTCACCAAGGCTTTGTACAATTGTGACATCCTACCATCAATGCCCAAACTAGCCAAAAGCTGCACAGATTTAACTGTTTAAACCCTGAGATATCTCTGTTGACACTTGGGGGTCATACAAACCTTCACCTTAACTTCACTTCTCTGGTGGTTCGGGTATGAGGCCATGGAAAAAGCACGTATGCATTCTCTCTCTAGTACATACAAGATGTAGATGACTTAGTAGTTTGGTTTTGAGACATGGTGATGGATTTTCTCATCTATTAGATATACTGCTGATCAAAGAACCATGGAATTGGGTTTGTAAAAGGTATATGATAGATACTGTACTAACATAGTTAATCTCAGCTGAAGCAATAGTAAGGGAGCACAATGGTTTTGGGATAAGGAAGGAAAGTCAGCAAGTTCTTGTTCCTGATCATTATTCACTATGTTTGGCAATGGAGCTGCTAAAACTGCTGTTAATGCCTTCACTGGTCAAATAGAATTCCTGTACTGAGTACACACATGACAATTACCTACTTTGGTGAGGTATTGGACAGAGTCTGAGAATTTATACTCCTATTTCAGTCAGCCTTCAGGGAAGGATAGATGAATGATTCGCCGAAAAATTTGAACCATATACAAATCAAGTTGTACTTACTGCCCTCCTTCCTCTGAGCTTTAATCTCCACCAGCTCTCCTTTCGGGATATCTAACATGAGCAAAACTGCCTCTTCACGGGTGAGGTTTTGGAAGTTGACATTGTTCACCTACTCAGGGAAAAGAAAAAGAATGGTTGAGCTTTGCAGTGAAAACCTATATTTTCAACTTTTTTCTTTAATTGTCGAGCAGAGAGTTTTTGGGCTATTTCTCACGGGTGAACCACTGATTGTTTACAGGGTACTGGATTGCAAATTAAATCACAGCCAAATCCAGTCTTGTTCTCACTTGACATCAGTTTATGCCTATCCACAGAATTGCTGAATAGTGATGAGGAGTGGTAATACAACAAGACCAGGTGTAGTATTTCCACCGCAAACATCAGCCTACTCATCAAAGATCCAGTCTGTACAGATCAGTGTTATATGGTTATCTATTCACTGATGGGGAAGGTTATTGCCTTTTGCTGAAATTCCACATGTGTTCAGTCCGTTGCTGTCTCTGAATGATGACAAACTAAATTGTACAAAGAGCCACTTTTACAGGCAGGGACACAGGGGTGTAAGCAGGATCATCTCTCTGGTCTTCGACATGTGTTTCATCACATCGAAGTTCAAGCTCATTGCACCAACCTTAGTGAGAACTCCGGACCTCTAGCACAGGCACAGAATAGTAAAATGTTCTGTTCACAATTAGTGCTGAAACTGTGCCAGTGTTTTTTTCCTTCCATGAGAAACAAAGTCCCTTATGGTACTCTTTGGTCTTTTTCTTTTCCAAATAAATATGCTGTTCCCTTTTAAACCGATCTATGCTTCCTGTTTCAGCAACAATTAATTTAGGATTCCACATTCTAACTGATTAATCTATTCTAATCCCATCTACTACCTCTTTCCTGAGTCCTTTTGTATTCTTCCTTTATGGACATTTACATGGTTCTCTTTTAAAACGTATTTTAGTCTGTTCTGTAATAGGTTTTCGAAAAATTACTCCATGTTTTAATATCCCTTTGTGTGAAAAATAAATCTTCCAACTTCCCCCTTCATCCTGTGATCATCCCGATTTTGTGCCTCTTGTGTGGAGTTGCCTTTGTCCTTGCTTGGACATCTTTGGGATGATCCAATTTCAGTGACCACCTATTGTGGGGGTAGATAGTTTCTCAATAACCTGCTCAGACATGTTGCTGTACACCTCTGGAGCAAATGGGACTTGAACCTGGGTTTTGGTGGGTGTGGGTGAATCTTGTTGAAAGTGGACCCTTAAGACCTTTACCCACTTAAATTCTTAACATTAATAAGCCAAATACTCATGTTAAAACAGCCATAAGATCATGGCAAGAGAGGTTTTGGGATGTCAATACTAACAAATTAGAATTGAGCATTCAGTTACCTGCAGAATCTGGTCTCCTTTCTGGATTCCCTGTCTGGCTGCAGGACTATCATCCAGAACTCGAGATACGAATATTCCAACATCATTGCCTCCAGCCAGCTGCAGGCCAACACTGGCATCCTTGACAAACCTCGCCACTTTCATGTCAGGACTGTAGCTAAATATTGAAATACATGGTTATTTGGTTAGTGAGCACTTATTAGGGATTAAACTGAATAGACCCACAAACAAGCATGTGGTGTGTTACATGTGATTACCCAGTGTCCTTTTAATTGGATGCAGGCATCATAGGAATTTCATGCTGTCTGCTCTGTGTTAGTCATTGACTGCACACATCAGCAAGGGGCCAAACTTGTTGCTAGTTAGCATGACTTAAAGCTACCCTGTACTGCCATAAAGTTCACTTTTACATCTTAAGTGAAGATGCATGTTGAATGTGTTAACATCAAGTGGGTGTGCAACAAGGAGTAATGGTTGACTATGGAGGAGAGAATTTCAGGAGACTTTAGTCCGCAGGAGACCAAATTTTATTTAATTCCTGATATAATGTTTACAGTTTTTATTTTCAACACATCAACAGATTTGCTGATGAATTTACACTGAAGAATAACATACTTTTTTCTCCTCTCCTCTAACAGGCCTGGTCATCCTCTGGTATCTTGTGCAAAAGGCCTTTCATCATGCTGTAGGCTACAACTAGCAGCAAGAATGCAGCAGGATACTGAATGGCCTTGAGACTATGTCCCAAGCATCAGTTAACACCTTGAGGAGAGGAGAAGAGGAGCTAACAGGTGAATGAATTAGATTCTGTTGTTTTCATCAAACCTGCATTTCCCTGGGCTAAATTAGTAAGTCAACTTTTCATCAACTTGCAGTCATAGAGGTCTTGCACATCGCCCTCAACTAATTTGGTCTCATAGTCTGTTGGCACTTACCCAACATTATATCCATCCTGTGGGCTTGTGTTTGAAGTCTTTATAGGAGCAGCATATGTTCGCTCATCAACAACTGCATCTGGAAAAGGGATGTCAAAGATTTAGGATGAAAAACAACATTTAAGAAATGAACAAAAGAAAATTCCTACACAATTCAGCTGCACTGTATGACTTCTGACTGTACCATTTGACCCAGCTCCTCACTTCGTGAAGGGAAAATGTTTTATCAGAGTAGCAATTTGTGATTAGCTCTGGAATCTCCTATTTTTTGATAAATGTTGACTTAGGGATGGAGGGTAAGATTAGCCAGGATTCCTGATCTGGATTCTTTTCTGGCTATTCCTACTGCACAGTGCAGTTACCTGGAGGGCCACAGAGACTAGATTAGGTTTGTCTTTGTGTTCTCAGCTCCTGGATTCAGACAGCTTGGATATTCTAACTCTCCAGGCTCACACATGACGCACGATCGCTGAGCTGAGACAGCACAAGAGAGATGTACAACAGCATAATTCATCATAGAAGCAGTACCTTCAGTTGAGAAAGGAAATTAGTGAAATGCATAGTGACTTTACATATATTTGAAGGAAATTGATTCTATAATGAGTGTCACTGGGAGAGCTGATGTATTTGATCTTCCTGCAGCAGGATTCAGGTTCCCTATTTCCCCCTATATGAATGGAGAACTTACAACAAAGAAACAGGATATTGGTCGAACCAGTTCATGTTAATGTTTGCACTCTGCACAAACAAACTATTCAAATAACATTCATACAGCATGTTCCCATATGCATTCAGCCTCTTTTCCAATCTCAACTTGAACGTTAAATCAGTTCCTGCCCCAATCGCTAACTCTGGTAATAAATTCCCTATATCCATAATTCTATGTCCTTTCTCTTATCTTCCATTTTGAAATCTCTTACATTTAATCCTCAATCTTTGCATTTCTTGACAACTAGATCTGATGGATGTAAGTAGTCAAATTAAGTAGTGGCAGAATTATTGCAGGTTGCATTGGAGCTATTATTTGAGTTGCTGATTCTGGAAGTTACTGAATGCAAGGCTAAATTTTCCCTTCCAGGGCATGGAGCAGTTGGAAGCTGTAGGGCCCAAATAAATGGAGCAGAGCTGTGACTTTTTCTTGATGCATTCCCAATAACTGGGCAATTTAGGAATGGCTGCATATTAAATGAAGGCAGAAAGACAATTTGCACGTTTAAGGCTCCAAATAGGAGTGATTTAGGGGCTCAGTAGCACTTATCCAACAGCAGAGTGATAATCCCATCACATGTGGAAGCCTTATGCTTAAAAGCCAGTAAGCAACCGCAGCTGTGGCAGTTCCCATTTGTGTGTGTGTGTGTGTGTGTGTGTGTGTGTGTGTGTGTGTGTGTGTGTGTGTGTGTGTGTGTCTCTGCTTGTGTGTGTGTGTGTGTGTGTGTGTGTCTGTTTGTGTGTGTGTCTGAATGTGCCTGTGTGTGTGTGTTTGTGTGTGTGTGCCTGTGTTTGTGTGTGTGTGTGTGTGTGTGTGCGCCTGTATGTGTGTGTCTGTGAGAGAGTAAGAGAGAGAGAGAGAGACACTATCTTCTTAATGTCCAGTTGTGTTAATCATTTCAGTCATTTATGTGGTGATTGTAACAAAGTTAGACAGGTGGACCTCATAGAATAAGAGTTCCCTGATTGGGGCTGTTAATCTGGTCAAATCAGGGAGCCTTGGCTGACAGTTATAAACTGTAGTGTCAGAGGTTCTGTTCACTCTGAGAGCTGGCTATGAGGAAGCCAGACCAGCGTCAAGTATTATGCATGTGTAAATAAAGGGTGGGTTACTGACGGGATACTGGCCTCTGTGGAGTTATTTGACTTTTATGACCGTCATTTGTGACCAGGAATAGGGATTTCCTCAAGCCTACCTACATACATTAGCAGCACCATTTCTGATTTTTTGACTTTCCATGATGGATGGCTTCCTCTGAACCCTACAAATTTGGGAGTGTCTCATTGTCCTCAATTGGACAGCAAGTGTGGAAGTACAAAATTAGGAGGCCAACTGTGGAAAGTAACTTTGTTAATCAGCATCTCAGCCAGTGCAGCCTAGGGACTCTCATTTATCCCCTAGGCTGGGTCCCACAGTCCTCAGGAAATTCAAGCTGCATTGTCTTCAGGTCATGGAGCGAGCAGCACCATCTAATTTACTGTAGAACACTGGACCCAGTCATGACTATTGTCAGCAGCAGAGCTGTCAGTTAAATGATTATTAAAAGCAATTAGTAATCAACAAATTGCTAACCTAAGTGCATTCATTGCTGTGAAGTATGGCTGTTAAGATCAATCTGTAAGCAGCAAAATAGTTGAAATGAGTTTCACCCTGAGATTTTGCACTAGGAATGAACTGATTGTCACTGGTACTCACCATGACGGGGTTTGGGAGCTGTAGGACTGACATCTATCTCTGACACTGGTTTTGTGTTTGGCTTCAGGCTGGAAAAAGAGTGAGAATCCCTATCAGTATCAACCAAGCCTTGAACATAATGCAAAATAAAAGGATTGGATTGCAGCACCGATTCAATCCAGGGCATCCATCACAAGGAACTTAAACATCAATCATGTGTATACACCATTCTCTTTGTGCATTATTTCAATTTAGGAGTTAATTCATTTCAAATGGGCGAAAGTTTAATGCATAAAAGCAACCAAACTATGTGCAGAGCTGATAAGGATTTTTATATTATTCTTCATGACTTTGTTGTTATCTATCAAACCAATTTGGGTTTTAAAAGCTTAACCTCCAAGGAACAGGCTCTGGGGCACATGCTTAATGGATAACGATATAGTTTTGCTTTCAGCAGGGTATTTTTACCAATTGCAGCAATGTTTGCGTTATCTGCTGTAACATAAGAAATTGGGTGTGGATATCCTGGGTCTGAAGAAGCCAACAGATATTTATTACAGCTAACTATTATAAAAGCCATTTTTATTAGTTGGACTGTGGACTTTAAAATGGGAAGATTCTGCTTTAAATGAGGGAGTGTAGAAAATGTTGCCGTTTTCTTTTAAAACAAAATGAATTATTGGAATTCATTGAGTGTTGTATTCACAAGGTTGCCTTATTCAAGCACTTGGGATGGATGTTTGACATATTGGCTCTGTAGGTACCCAGGTGCAGTTTAGACCAGTGGCAAACTTTTGATTGGACCAAGACCAATTGCATGCATTCAAGAGTACTCAGCATCATAATCCTTCCTGATTAATTCCTGGGCATGTGGCCAGGGTTCAGGAGTGGATGTGGATAATACAGCAGAAACATCCAGCCACTGAAGGAGAAAATATCTTTTTTGCTCCTGTGAGTGGTGAAGTAAAAGAACATTTCAAGCCATATTTTCTCTCCCTCTGCAAATTCAAATGGAAAAAAAAAACCCTTCAAAGACACGAATAGGGCAAATCTTCAATGAGTAATTGTAAAGTTGAGAATCGGTATGTCTACCATCCCACATCCTCCTCAATGTGCTGAAAGGAACCTGAAGGAAAATGTCTCATTGACATCTGTAATCCAGACCAATGCCACAATTGTGCTTTACTGATGACATTTTTTATGCTGCTTCACCCAAAATATTTGCGTCTTGTCTCTTTGTGCGTTGGTATGTGTATAGGGTTTTTTTAAACAAAGAGGTAGAGTCAGCAAATTAATACTTTGTGTTTCTTGTCTGCTATTGATTAAAAACAGTTTGTTTGTGATAAATAGTGGCTTTCTTGTTATGTAGAGAAATCTGATGATGTTTTTTTTTCTCCTGGGTTCATCAGTCAGGTAAATTGGATAGTTAAATTAAGTCTTTTCACTTTTGTGACAACTCCAGGAATAGTAGGGATAACAAGGTGTAGAGCTGGATGAACACAGCAGGCCAAGCAGCATCAGAGGAGCAGGAAAACTGACGTTTCAGGTCTAGACCCTTCTCCAGAAATGGGGGAGGGGAAGGGGATTCTGAAATAAATAGGGAGAGAGGGGGAGGCAAATAGAAGATGGATAAAGGAGAAGATAAGTGGAGAGGAGACAGACAGGTCAAAGAGGTGGGGATGGAGCCAGTAAAGGTGAGTGTAGGTGGGGAGTTGGGGAGGGGATAGATCAGTCCAGGGAGGACAGACAGGTCAAGGGGGCAGGATGAGGTTAGTCGGTAGGAGATGGGGGTGCGGCTTGAGATGGGAGGAGGGGATAGGTGGGAGGAAGGACAGGTTAGGGAGGCGGGGACGAGCTGGGCTGGTTTTGGGTGCAGTAGGGGGAGGGGAGATATTGAAGCTTGTGAAGTCCACATTGATACCCTTGGGCTGCAGGATTCCCAAGAGAAATATGAGGTGCTGTTCCTGCAACCTTCGGGTGGCATCATTGTGGCACTGTAGGAGGCCCAGGATGGACATGTCGTCCAAGGAGTGGGAGGGGGAGTTGAAATGGTTCGCGACTGTGAGGTGCAGTCGTTTGTCGCAAACCGAGCATAGGTGTTCTGCACAGCGGTCTCCAAGCCTCCGCTTGGTTTCCCTGATGTGGAGGAGGCCACATCAGGAACAGCGGATACAGTATACCACATTAGCAGATGTGCAGGTGAACATCTGTTTGATGTGGAAGGTCTTCTTGGGGCCTGGGATGGGGGTGAGGGGGGAGGTGTAGGGGCAGGTGTAGCACTTCCTGCGGTTGCAGGGAAAAGTGCCAGGGGTGGTGGGGCTGGTGGGGAGTGTAGAGCGGACAAGGTAGTCACGGGAGTCACCCCTTTCACCCACTCCAACCTCTCCCCCACAGAACGTGCAGCCCTCCGCTCCCTCCACTTCAAACCCAACCTCATCATAAAACCCGCGGACAAGGGAGGCACAGTTGTAGTATGGCGCACTGACCTCTACGTCGCCGAGGCCAGTCGCCACATCTCTGACACCTCCTCCTACTGCCCCCTTGATCATGATCCCGCCCCCGAGCACCAAACCATCATCTCCCAAACCATCCACAACCTCATCACCTCAGGTGACCTCCCACCCACGGCCTCCAACCTCATCGTTCCCCAACCCCGCACCGCCCGCTTCTATCTCCTTCCCAAAATCCACAAACCTGACTGCCCTGGTCGACCCATTGTCTCCGCCCGCTCCTGCCCCACTGAACGTATCTCCATTTATCTCAACTCCATTTTCTCCCTCTTGGTCCAGGAACTCCCTACCTATGTCCATGACACCACCCACGCCCTCCACCTCCTCCAAAACTTCCAATTCCCTGGTCCCCAGCACCTCATCTTTACCATGGACGTCCAGTCCCTATACACTTGCATTCCCCATGCAGATGGCCTAAAGGCCCTCCACTTCTTTCTGTCCCGCAGGCCTGACCAGTTCGCCTCCACTGACACCCTCATCCACTTAGCTGAACTGGTCCTCACCCTTAACAACTTCTCCTTCAATTCCTCCCACTTCCTACAGACAAATGGGGTGGCCAATGGTACCCACATGGGCTCAAGCTATGCCTGCCTCCGCTCCACACTCCCCACCAGCCCCACCACCCCCGGCCCTTTTTTCTGCAACCATTGGAAGTGCTACACCTGCCCCTACACCTGCCCCCTCACCCCCATCCCAGGCCCCAAGAAGACCTTCCACATCAAACATCACCCTCAGCTCATTTGCTTTGATACAATAATGATATCATGAGCATTTCTCTCAATGGTGTACTGACCATGAATCATGGCACAGCAGACATTGGACCCTTAACCTTTGGTTTCTCAGTTGAAGATATGGTAACCATAGTGTCAGAATTTGAAAGGAATCTAACTAGAAGTTGAAAACACTGGCCTCAGTACTTGACAAAGTGGCTTTCATGTCAGTTTCTGCACTTTGTACATTGGCCTCTCCATTGCTGTGCTCAGTAAAAAGATTACCTTCCATTACTCTTCCTTGTGTTGGGAGGATCCACCAAAATATGTTTTGACCGATTATCACTTGGTGAATCTGTACGTTCAGACTCAATGTCTGAAAATTCTAGACAGAAAAATACAGATAAACAGAATAATTTGAGAAATGAAGATTTATTCCACATTTCTTTTGAAAAATGAATACATTTTTGTCTCTCATGACAAAAGTCATCACCAATGGGATTGGGACAGGTGATGTGGTTTTTAATTGGACCATCCTGAAGTTTCTGAAGAGAAAGTTTGAATTCAAATATCTCTGGAGATCGGAGTTTGTCTAATAAAAATAAACAAACAGTGAAATTCACAGCTAACTTTGGAGAAACCTGTGTGGGGGAGCTCACAGCAGGGAAGCAGCTAAGTGGCTAGTTTTAAAGGGTAACCTTACTGGGTTTTTTTGTAAACCTACAATAGTGAGTGGAGGGAATTCTTTTTGGATTATAAGTTTTTGTTGAGATCTGTCTCTTGATTAAACATTAAAAATTTAAAAACATAAGTACTAAGTTAGCTTGGTGAAGTGTTTTTAGCCCTGGAACAGTAATACTGTACAATTTTCTGGGTCTGTAGATTGTTGAGGTGCAAGGGTGGCCTTTAATAGAGTGATGTGCTCTTCCTGTTGGATGTGGGAGATTAGGAAGAGTTTTCATGTCACTGATGATTATGTCTGCAGGAAGTGTGCTTGGTTGCAAATCTTATTGGATCGCATGGATGGATTGGACCAGCACTTAATGAGGAATTTACAGGAGCTAGCGGGTCTAATGGATGGCATTTGCAGGAAGGGAGATAAACCAAAGTTACAGTCAGGTAGGTGGATAGCCTCCAGGAAAGGTAGGAGAGGGAGGCAGGTTGTGCTGGAGTCTCCTGTGGCTATCCCTTTCTCAAAGAAGTATCCTGTTTTGGAAAATGTAGGGGGTGATGGACCTTCAGGGGAATGTAACACTGACAACCAGGTTTCCGGTACCGAGACTGGCTCTATTGTATCGAAGGGTACATCAGGTTCTAAGTGATAGATTGTGATAGAGTGTCTCTCATCAGAGGCACAGACAGATGTTTCTGCGCCCGACAGCAAGACATCAGAATGGTGTGTTGCTTCCCTGGTGCCAGGATCAAGGATATCTCAGAGATGGTGCAGAATATTCTCAAAGAGGTGAGGGACCAGGAGGAGGTTGTTGTTCACACTGGAACTGATGACTTAGGAAAAAAAAGGACGAGATTCTGAGGAGAGAATGTAGGAAGTTAGGCAGGAATTTAAAAAGGAGTTCCTTGAAGGTAGTAATATCTGGAGTCCACCTGGTGCCATGAGCTAGTGAGAGTAGAAATAGGAGGATACAGCAGATGAATGCGTGGCAGAGGAGCTGGTTCCGGGGGAAAGGGTTTACATTTTTGAATCATTGGATGCTCTTCTGAGGTAGAAGTGACCCATATAAGAAGGACAGATTGCACCTGAATTGGGAGGGGATTAATATATTGGCAGGGAGATTTGCTAGAGCTACTCAGGAAGATTTCAATGAGTAAGTGGGGTGGGACCCAGGAATGTAGTGAGGAAAGAGATTTGTCTGAGACTGGTACAGTTGGGAAAAGGAGCAAGTCAAACAGTCAGGGCAGGCAGGAACAAAGCTTAGTGTGGTTATGGTAGGGTATTTTAACTTTCCAAGTATGGACTGGGACTGCCATAGTGTTAAGGGCTTCGTTGGAGAGGAATTTGTTAAGTATGTACAAGAAAATTTTCTGATTCAGTATATGGATGTACCTACTCGCACAGAACTTGACCTACTCTTGGGAAATAAGGCAGGGCAGGTGACTGAGGTGTCAGTGGGGGGGGCACTTTGGGGCCAGTGACCATAATTCTGTTAGTTTTAAAACAGTGATGGAAAAGGATAGACCGAATCTAAAAGTTAAAGTTCTACATTGGAGGAAGGCCAATTTTGACAGTATTAGGCAAGAACTTTCAAAAGTTAACTGGGGGCAGATGTTCATAGGTAAACGGATGCCTGGAAAATGAGATAACGAGAGTCCAGAGACAGTAAGTTCCTGTTAGTGTGAACGGCAAGGCTGGTAGGTATAGGGATGACTAGAGAAATTGAGGTTTTGGTAAAAATAAGGAAGGAAGCATATGTCAAGTATAGAGAGCAGAGATCGAGTGAATCCCGAGAAGAATATAAAGGCAGTAGGAGCACACGTAAGAGGCAAATTACGAAGGCAAAAAGAGGACATGAGATAGTTTTAGAAAACAGTGTTAAGGAGAATCCAAATGGATTCACAAATACATTAAGAATAAAAGAGTAATTAGGTGAGAATAGGGTCCCTTAAAGATCAGCAAGGCTACCAATGTGTGGAACCGCAAGAGATGGGGAAGATATTAAATGAATATTTTGCATCAGTATGTGCTGTGGAGAAGGATATGGAAGATAGGGAACAGGGGGAAATAAATCGCAACATCTTGAAAAACGTCCATATTACAGAGGAGATGTGGTGCTGGACGTCTTAAAATGCATAAAAGTGGATAAATCCCCAGGACCTGATCAGGTGTGCCCGAGAACTCTGTGGGAAGCTAGGGAAGTGATTACTGGGTCCCTGGCTGAGAAATTTGTATCATTGATAGCCACAGGTCAGGTGCCAGAAGACTGGAGGTTGGCTTACGTGGTGAAAAGCCTGGGAACTTGAGCCTGACATCGGCCGTGAGCAAGTTGTTGGAGGGAATCCTGAGGGACAGGATTTACATGTATTTGAAAAGGCAAGGACTGACTAGGGATAGTCAATATGGCTTTGTGCATGGGAAATCGTATCTCGCTAACTTGATTCAGTTTTTTCGAAGAAGTAACAAAGAGTATTGATGAAGATAGAGCTGTGGACATGATCTGTCTGGACTTCAGTAAGGCATTCAACAAGGTTCCTCATGGCAGACTGATGATCAAGGCTAGATCAAATGGAATACAGGGAGAACTAGCCATTTGGTTACAGAACTGGCTCAAAGGTAGAAGACAGAGGGTGGTGGTGGAGGGTTGCTTTTCGGACTAGAGGGCTGTTACCAGCGGTGTGTCACAAGGATCGGTGCTGGGTCCATTGCTTTTTGTCATTTATATAAATGATTTGGATGTGAACATAGGAGGTATGGTTAGTAAGTTTGCAGATGACACTAAAATTGGAGGTTTAGTGGACAGCGAAGAAGGTTACCTCAGAGTACAATGCGATCTTGATCAGATGGGCCAATGGGCCAAGGAGTGGCAAATGGAGTTTAATTTAGATAAATGTGAGGTACAGCATTTTGGAAAGGCAAATCAGGGCAGGACTTATACACTTAATGGTAAGGTCCTGGGGAGTGTTGCTGAACAAAGAGTCCTTGGTGCGCAGGTTCATAGTTCCTAAGTGGAGTCACAGGTAGACAGAATTGTGAAGAAAGCTTTCGGTATGCTGGCCTTTATTGGCCAATGCATTGAGTGTAGGAGTTGGGAGTTGGGAGGTCATTTTGCAGATGTACAGAGCATTGGTTAGGCCACTATTTCAATACTGCATGCAATTCTGGTCTCCCTGCTATAGGAAGGATGTTGCGAAACTTGAAAGGGTTCAGAAAAGATTTACAAGGATGTTGCCAGGGTTGGAGGGTTTAAGCTGTAGGGAGAGGCTGAATAGGTTGGGGCTATTTTCCCTGGAGTGTCGGAGGCTGAGGGGTGACTTTATAGAGGTTTATAAAATCATGAGGGGCATGGATAGGGTAAATAAATAAGGTATTTTCCCTGGGTTGGGGGAGTCAAAAACTAGACGGCATAGGTTTAAGGTGAGAGGGGAAAGATTTAAAAGGGACCTAAGGGGCAACTTTTTCACACAGAGGGTGGTGTGTGTATAGAATGAGCTGCCAGAGGAAGTGGTGGAGGCTGGTACAATTACAACATTTAAAAGGCATCTGGATGGGCACATGAATAGGAAAGGTTTAGAGGGATATGGGCCAAATCCTGGCAAATGGGACTACATTTATTTAGGATATCTGGTCGGCATGGATGAGTTGGACTGAAGGGTTTGTTTCTGTGCTGTACATCTCTATGACTCTAAAGTTGGACATCAAAAGCCTGTTTTAAAAGTTTTCAGCTTTGTCTTGCAAAGGAGTTAGCTACAACCAAGGGACTATTAGAACTCAAACCCAATTTAAAACCACACACATTATCGTCAATATCTAATTCTGCCCTGGTCTGTTTGCAGATGGTGATACTATGGATTTTCAGCAATGAAAAGAGATTGTACCGAAAATTACTGTCTGCGTCGTTAACCAATAATTGTTGACCTTTCCTCTGCTGGCTGTTTTAGTGGAGATGTTGGTCCATTTATTTCATAGGTTCTACACTTGTATTAATGCACAAGGTATTAACACAGTTTTTAATAGAAACTATTGGACAGAGAAAACGAAAGAAGGCAGAGATAATACAGAAAACGGAGGACAGAATGAGCAGAATGTAAGACGTTCTCCCGAGATGTGTATGAGACTAGATAAATTGCTCCTGCAGGTAGTGGGGGAGGTCTTAATGTGCCAAATTACTTTCTTCTGTGTTGTTAACATTTTGATGCTCTGATACAATAATTTTGGTTGAAAAATCAGCACAAATCCTGGAGCAATGGAGTAAACAGCCATTAACATCGTTTGCAACAGTTTCCACCAATCTTCTGCCAAAGTTACAGTGGAAGATTGAGGAAGTTTCATGGAAATTATATCACACTGTACTTAGCATGCCGTCTATGCAGTAATCTTGTCATTGTAAGGTTAGTGTGTGTTTCAGTGTGTAGGGTGGAATCTTGTTGAAGCAATGTGCACCCTGTGAAACCTCGCCAACCCCACATTACCCTCTGGTGATCCGGGTTACTTCGCAATCCTGGGCACTGCAGCCTGTCCTTCCCGCAGAGGCTGTGGCCTTGCAACTGCCTGTACTGAGCACAAGGGCTGGCGGCCTCTGATTGGCTGGCACCTCTCAGTAAGTGAGACCTGTCCTCCTGGGGAAGTTGCTCTGTTGTCCTTGTCACTGACTGATTGACTTGAGGTTCAGCGGACCTTCCCGCACAGGCCTCTCAGCCAATAGGCAAGAGTCCTGATGCTTCAACAAGATTAATCAGTCCCACCCTGAGAAGGGGCAGGCTGATTTCATAGATTCATCTGTTTGGCACCTTAAAGAGAAGCCACCTGCAGCAGGGTTAATATCAACAGCAGTGGGATGAGGCCCTTAAATGGTCATTAATTGGCTGCCTCAGGACCACAAATGGTAGTGGAATGGAAATATCAGCCAAAGCTGTTCCACCCCAAACTTAATTCTGACAGAGGTAGGGTTCACATCCACACCAATCAAATCCCTTCCCTACCTTCAGGCTTATTACTGACAACATCAGAAAATTCTACCCAGAGTATGAGAAATGGAGATGAATAAAAAGGCAGTAGAATTTCCCTTGAGATGCTGGTAATTGAAGAATTAAAACCAGAATATAATAATATTAGTTTGTAGTTTGGCAACTTACCTTCCAGGCTATCTTCCTCACTGTCCACCAGTTCAGGAACATTGATCAGAAACTGTTCATTATCTCGTAGGATCACCAACCTCAGCTCCCCCTCTGACTTCTCAATTAGTGTCCTCGTATCTTCCAGTGATATATTCTCAGTTACTACACCATTAATCTGATCAAAGAAAATTATCCATCACCATCACTTCTTCTAACACTTGTCCATTAGAAACATGAAGATGGTTAGAACAAGCTAATTGTCCCAACAAGGCTGGCCCTATTTAGATTGATCGCAACTCAACTTAACAACCTCTCACATAATCCTTCATACCTTCTTGATCAAGAGTTTTTTTTTAATATTGCATGGAATGTGTGCAGAAACATAGAAAGTAGGAGCAGTGTATGCCATTTGGTTCTTCAAGCCTACTCTCCCGTTCAACATAATCATGGCTGATCCTCTATCTCAATGCCTTAGTCCCACTTTCTCTCGACACTCCTTATTGCCTTTAAAACTTTATTAATTTCTTTTTGAAAATATCGAGTGAACTGGCCATCACAGCCTTGTGTGGTAGTGAGCTCCACAGGTTGATTATATTGTGAGGGAAAAAAATGTTTCCCCATCTCTGTCCCAAATGGCCTGCACTGTATTCTGAAGCAGTGACCCCCTGGTTATAGACTCCACAACCAGATGACACATCTTCCCTGTAGCCAGGCTATCTAGCCCTGTTAGAATTTAATATGTTTCAATCAGATCCCTCTAATTCTTCTAAACTCTAGTGAATACAGGCCCAGTTAAAGCAATTTCTCTCATATGACAGTCCTGTCATCTCTGGTATCAGCCTAATGAAACTTTGCTGCATTCCCTCTATGACAAATATATCCTCTTTATAGTATGGAGACCAAAACTGCATATAATACTCCAGGTGCAGACTCACCAAGGCTCTGCATAACTGCTCTAAGACATCCCTACTTCAAACCCTTTTGCAATGAAGGGCAACATGCAAATTTACCTTCCTAAGTATTGTTGCACTTCCCCGTTTACTTTCATTGACTGTCATATAAGGATGCTTAGATCTCTTTGGATAACCACATTTCCCAATATATTACCATTTATAAAAATGCTCTTCATTTTCTACTTTCCACACCAAAGTGAAAATAAGCTTTTAAGTGAAACAATTATCCATGTTATACTGCATTCGCCGCGTGTTTTCCCGTACACTCAGTGTTGCTGACAGCATTTGTTGCCCATCCCTAATCCCCCTTGAACTGATGTATTTCTCAGCCATTTCAGAGGGATGTTAAGAATCAACCACATTGCTGTGGATCCAGAATTGCACGTAGACCAGACGAGGTGAGCACGACTGATTTCCTTCCCTAAAGGGCACTAGTGAAGAAGATGGATTTTTGTGACAATCAGTGATAGTTGATACAGTCACCATTAGTTTTCTGTTCCTGATTTATGGATTGAATTTGAATTCCACCAGTTGCTGTAGTGGGATTTGAATGTCTCCCACACCATCCACCTGGACATCTGGATTACTAGCCCTGTGATGTCACCATTACACAACCACCTCCTAATTTCCTCTTCACCCTATTGATACCTTCCGCTTGAAATGCTTTTCCTGCTTATGAATTCCCAAAATGTTTTCAGTTTTCTCTTAAAACTATTTAGTTTTCTATTTTGCATTTCCCATAGTTGAACCCATTGCCTGACTTTTATTTGTCATTGTGCCAGCAAGATGAGAAGAATTCAAGATCAATTCTTTAACCACTACATGGGTTGGATACACTGGGAAATGATTGGTTTGAAATATTAAGGATTTGGACAAACTGATTCTAATTGCCTGTTCTTCTTTTCATCCACCATCTACCAAGAACCTCTTCCCTGACCAATAGCTGCAATCTATAATTCATTCATGGAAAATATGTGGTAGTTTTAAGCTAAACTGGGTGTTCAACATTATCAGCCAATAGCCCTAGAGGGTTGTTCATTCGCTGCTAATGGAGACCCATGCTTTCACGGAGAAAAGGTCACAGAATTCACACTGTACCATCATAGTTCTGCCTTCAACCCTTTCTTTCTGTGATTCTCAGATTCAAGCTCCTACTGGATATTGCATTCCACTGATTAATGTGGCATCCATTAACCACTTCTTTAATGGGCTGCTTACCCAACTGAAGATCTGCGAATGTAATTCATAGAGCCCCTACCGTGTATTAACAGGCCATTCAGCCCAACATGTCTACACCAACTCTCCAAAGAGCATCCCAACCATCCTCAACCCCCTCCCATATCCCTCTAACCCTGCATTTCCCACAGCTATTCCCCCTAATTTATACATCCCTGAACACTATGGGCGATTTAGCATGGCTGATCCACCTAGCCTGCACATCTTTGGACTTGGGAGGAAATCAGAGCACCCGGAGGAAACCCATGCAGACACGGGGAGAATGTGCAAACTCCACACAGACAGTTGCCTGAGGTTAGGATCAAACCTGGGACCCTGGCGCTGTGAGGCAGCAGTGCTAACCACTGAGCCACCGTGCTGCCTCAAATCTATTATCCTCATTAATTAATTTTTCCACGACATTTGAAAATAGATATTTTACCTTTAGTATAATGTCTCCCTCCTTTAAGACCCCTTCCTTTGAAGCAAGGCCATCCGATGACATGTGTTTAATGAAAATTTGACTCCCCAACCTCAAGCCGTATTCTATGAGAAAAAATGGCACACAACGGTAGTCAGAAATTCAGCTGTTAAACTGCTCTGAAATGCTTACAATGCAAGTTGTTAGAACAACTTTACTTTAGAGACAAAGGAGGTAATAGCCTCCTAAAGACACAGTGAAAGGTTAGACTCTTTAATGAGTACTTTATTCAGTCGTTTACTAAGGAAGAAAATGTTGACAAATGGGAAGAAAATGACAGGAAGAAGATGATACAATAGATTTGCTTACAAGGGATAAGTGGTTTAGTCCAGATAATTTGCTTCTCCAGCTTTTAAAGGAGGTGTAAGTGAAGTAGAGTTTACCATAATCTTCCAATCTTCCCTAGATATGTGGGAAGTGCCGGGGGCTTGGAGAGTGAGAAATGTGGCACTCATATTTAAAGAAGGGTCTGAGAACATTCCTGGTAACGACATGCCAGTCAGGTTAACATCAGTGGTGGTAAGATATTAAAGAAAATAGAGAAAGTCTTAACAGGCACTTAAAGGGATTTGAGTTAATTAATTCAATATTTGACATTCCACAAATATAAAATTAGCTTTTCAGAGGCTGTTTAGCAGCAAGTATGTACTCAGTACGCCACTAAAAACCCAGAACACTCAACAAGATGTAACTGTTCTGAACTTTGTTTTACAGTAAGACAAATAGGGTGAGAGTGAAGAGTGCAAAACCAGTGAAAAATCAATATGACTTCATTGAAAACTCCTCAGCTGTCTCTAAAAACACATTCAAATGCACTTCAGCAGTGGACTGGAGAGCAAAGGGTATAAGAGAAACAAAACTTGGCTCACTGCCTGTCATGTCAGTATTGTCATTGTACTTCTATAGAAGATTGATAACGCAAGCATTACCTGTACCCAGCAGGGTAATTCCACAAGCTGGAGATAAATATACAACATTGCAAAAGCAGATCTTCAAGCCCTCTTACAGAGTCATACAGCATGGAAACAGATCCTTGGGTCCAACCAGTTCATGCTGACCATGTTCCCAAACGAAACTGGTCCCACCTGCCTGCACTTGGCCCATATCCCTCCAAACCTTTCCTATTCATGTACTTATCCAAATGTCTTTTAAATGCATAACTGTACATGCTTCCACCACTCTCTCTGGCAGTTCATTCCACACACTAACCACCCTCCATGTAAAAATGTTGTCCCTCACGTCCTTTTTAAATCTTTCTCCTCTCGTCTTAAAATATGTCCCTTAGTTTTGAACTCCTCTACCCAAGGGAAAAGACTCTTGACATTCATCTTATATACACCCCTCATGATTTTACAAAACTCAATAAAGTCACCCCTCAACTTCCTATGCTCCAGTGAAAATGTCCCAGCCTATCCAGTCTATTTTTAACATCTTAAACCCTCGATTCCCTTCTGGAAAATTAAAGGCAGGAGGCACAGATGGGTATGAACTTAAATCATGTTGTCTCGAATGATATGACACCCACCTGAGGCCAATGCCCTCACGCTGGAAATGGAGACAATACTACAAAGGCAAATAAGACAACATACTGGGAATACTCTCCATGGCTTCATCGCACACTCTGAGCACCAATGGATTCCTCACCTTCTTAAAATCAGTGTAAAATTTTGTTTGGTATGCATGTGAATTGCCTTGGGTAGTTTAATTGATTTGTATGTTTTATACAAATGCAAGCTGTAGTGACTGTAAACCAAAGCTTGCACAATAATCCTTCACAAGGCAGACTGGTTAAGGGCAGTTCTAAACTGGAAGAATAAGATTACAAAGAAATGTAGGCCTAGATTTTGCTGTGGTATTAATTGTAAAAATGTCAGTGTTTGTCATCACTACTCCATTGAAATTGGCAGCAATGTTAGACGTCCACACTTGTTCAAAGCAACTTTGAAGTCCAGCAGTTCCTGTCAGGGATTCCATGCTCTTCTAAAGGATCAATGTCAAAGCTTCCCCAGACTGAAATCAGTGAGAACATCAACGAATAAAGGAGAATCTTCATTCTCAATCTGTCTCATTGTAAAAAACATTCAAAAAAAGTTACATCTTGTTGGGTTTTTTATGGCATATGAAGTTCATACTTGCTACTAAATAGCCTCACTGGTCCTGAAAAGCTAATTTTATATTTGGGGAATGTCAAGTTTCTTCGTATGATACAAATGTTTCATATATTGAAAAATATTTTATAAAGCTTTCTGTGATATATTGGTTTCCATCTCAATTCAATCATAATTTGTGTCATAATCTGAAATACTTAAAAGTGAACTGATGCAGTGCTTTTAATTAGAGATAGTGAGAACTGCCGATGCTGGAGTCGAAGATAACACAGTGTGGAGCTGGAGGAACACAGCAGGCCAGGCAGCATCAGAGGA